TAATACTTTCAATGTCTGTCCTAAATCTTCATCCTCCACCTTCTCTCCTCAGATCTCATCTGTGGCAGCTTTTGCACCATCCTCCTCTGCCTCTCTTTCAAAGGATCCATTTTCAACTGCAAAAACGACCACTGTAAGTATTCCTACTGCTCTTCTTCGTTCTTCTCTCACTCCTGTCTGTCATTTTACATCTGAATGCTCATTGGTTTTTTGAATCTTGGTGGCAGTTCTCTGCTTGTAAGGCGGGCAAAGGGGAACTCAGCAGATCCAGTTGAGATTTTTGGGTTCTTTCAAGTAAGTGACTGTTGCGATCAGCTTTGGCATTGTATCCAATCAGATTTGCTCAATTTGCCTCTTAATTAGATGGTTCCTTGATTTTTTTTTTGGGCGTTTTTTTTGTTTCATGCATGTTAGCTGGCAAGAACAAGAAGTGAAGAAGAAACCCAAAAAAAGCATTATGTTTTATCCAATAAAAGGCTTAAGGGTCCATTCGGTAACGTGGTTTAGGTAGAGTGTATTTTAATTTAATTCCTCAAATTTAATACCACTATTTGTTTTGAGTTAAATAGAGTGTAATTGGATTTGGGTCAAATACATATATTTTATTTCTATTATTTTAAATAGATAAAATTATATATTTCAAATTCAACTTTAAATCCGTGAATTTTAATTTTAAAGTGAATTTGAGATTCTATCACTACACTTTGTCCACATGCCGATGGCGATGAAGTTTTTACGTGACTTTCGTTCATCATTGACTTTGCCACTATTCTCTCACCCTCTTGCCGTCAACCACTCAAAGCATTCTGCGCTTGCATCTCCCCTGAGTTTTCATCATCTCTCTTGATAACAAGTTCTAATTAAGCACAAGAATGCCATTACCTTTATCACCCTTTTGGGAGCCTTGGAGGTTTCTGATGAGAAGTCCAGATTGTAATGGCAAGTTGTACTTCGAATGAACTTGAGACAGAAGGGAAAGGAGGAGAAGAGTGAAAGAAAAGAACACGAGGGCTTTTGATGCCATGGATTTGTGTTAGATATTTGGCATTAGCCCATATTTTTGCTGCCTATATATGCGCATATAGCAGCTTAGTCTTATCTATTATTATTATTTTTTTGAACATTGGAGATGGAATTGAAATCCTATATCTATTAAATTTAACGTGGGAACTCTTTTATAAAAAGAAAGTGATCCCTAGATCAAAAATATTTTCATTTAATTTTATTTAATTTGAGAAAGAAAATCATCAAGATTTGATAGTTTCCATGACTTTGCTAGACATTTATATATTTGTATATATAAAGAAACCATTTATTTTTAAAGTATATCTTTAAATAGGAAAGAAAATATAAATAGAAAGGAAATCATCAAGATATGAGAGTACATAGAAAAGTCTTCATTCTTGAAACAAATGGGAAAAGCTAGTGTTAAGCTCCTAAATTTTTCCTATTTTCTCACATTAGCCCTTAAAGAAAAAAAAAGTAGAATGTAAGCCTCTAAACATTTGAATTCAGGAAAATTAGGCTTTGTGTTAACAATAAAATCACGTGTGATCATGTAAGTTAAAAAATAATAATAATTATTTTTTGTTTGTGCAGCAATTCCTTTACAATTAAATATTGATGTGGCATGAAACTCAATCATTTATCTCTTGGTTTTAATAATTTTAAGTTCTATACTATAAACATTTAAATGTAAAGTAATTGCTATATTGGCATTTAAGTTT